GTTCGTAAAGAACTTATGTTCCAGGTACCAGATAACGGAAATAAATGTAAGATTTTTATTATACAGGTACATATATTTAACATCCATAACCCTGGAATAGACATTTTATATTTATCATACAAATTATCTTCCCTTGGCGGAATTCGAACCCGCGACCCCTTTGTGTAGTGACCATGTCACTTACCACTACACCAGACGGCCGTCGTTTATAATCAACAATTAAAGTGTTTTCACTGGCTTGATGTTTTTTTTCTAATTGGTTTATATAGACATCAATCACGTAGGTAAATGCCGTAACGCACTTTGAGAAATGAGTTCTAAGTCCCAGCTTTTTAAAGCAGCTGCCCCGCTTTTCAAGCCAAAGCGGATTACTGCTTCTCGGCAGAAATAGGCAGGACGGTGGTACCTACCCGCACGGGCTATCAACACACCCTACTCCCAAAGTGAAGGCTTCAATAAGGACATGTGCAAAATTGAAACTACTTTACGATTCAATCATGTGTTATTTGTTATTTGATGTTATTTCCGATTGTGTGAAATGAAATTTTTAACTATAGAAACTATAAAAACGTTATTATATAAAACAGAAGTTAGCACAATATTCAAATGTTGTTAGTTTAAACACCTTATTCGTCCGTGACTATGAAAGCAGTGAACGCCGGAAATAATACAATATTGACAATAATTTAAACAGTAAAAGTATTTTTAATTATTACTACGACTCGTTGAAATAAAAAAAAAAGTACTAGGTCAAATTTATTGTACTGTTTATCAAATTTCAGATAGATAATGCAAGAAACTGGTGGTAGGACCTCTTGTGAGTCCGCGCGGGTAGGTACCACCACCCTGCCTATTTCTCACGTGAAGCGGTAATTCGTTACGGTTTGAAGGGTGGGGCAGCCGCTGTAACTATACTTGAGACCTTAGAACTTATATCTCAAAGTGGGTGGCGCATTTACGTCGTAGATGTCTATGGGCTCCAGTAACCACTTAACACCAGATGGGCTGTGAGCTCGTCCACCCATCTAAGCAATAAAAAAGAAAAGAAAGTAAACACATTATTGGCTGAACTATATATGTAACTATATATAGGTAATTTAGATTTAGCATATTTAGTCACATCTAAGTCTGTGATTTCTCGAATTAAAGATTTGCATAGATACAAAAGCAAAATACTGCTTGCATCTGTTCACGTCATTGACATAAAAGGGATTTTGTTAATTTAGTATGTTTCATCTGAAAATGTAGACAGATCTATAGGTAGATCGGTAACTCCATGGACGATGGAGCCCTTGGACATAACAATGTGTGTATCGTACGCTGAGCTTTAATGTTCTTAATGTAATAACATAAAACATCGGAAATAAATCACATTTTGAAGTCGTCGTGGCCTAACGGATAAGACGTCCGGTGCATTCGTGTTGAGCGATGCACCGGTGTTCGAATTTCAGGCGGGTACCAATTTTTCTAATGAAATACGTACTCAACAAATGTTCACGATTGATTTCCACGGTGAAGGAATAACATCGTGTAATAAAAATGAAACCCGCAAAATTATAATTTGCGTAATTACTGGTGGTAGGACCTCTTGTGAGTCCACCTTGTGAGTGGGTACCACCACCCTGCCTATTTCTGCCGTGAAGCAGTAATGCGTTTCGGTTTGAAGGGTGGGGCAGCCGTTGTAACTATACTCGTGACCTTAGAACTTATATCTCAAGGTGGGTGGCGCATTTACGTTGTAGATGTCTATGGGCTCCAGTAACCACTTAACACCAGGTGGGCTGTGAGCTCGTCCACCCATCTAAGCAATAAAAAAATAAAAAAACACGATTATCTGAACCCAAACTACGAATCCATGTAGTATGGAAACCAGAGCTTTATGTGCATATTTATATGTATTGTATGTATTGTGAATACATATATATTAAACCCCAAGCGTGAAAATAAACCAGTTCGTCACACGAATCTTTGCCAGAAGTCGTCCCTCGGTCCAGTAGTAAAGGATGCTAGCTACTGTACCACTGAGTCTGTCAACATGAAAGATGAATATCTATTTATCATCATGTTCCAATCATTATTAAGTACATTCTTTAATTTTCTGTTCAATATAGGTACGTTGAATTAAAAATAGACGGATATACGAATTAGTAGTGTCACCATGAGTTTTGGATCTGGAAGAGACTGGTATGCTTCTTTAAATTTGATTGTTATTACAAATTGAAATTTAATTTTTAATTTAATACGTAATAAGATAAATTTATTCAATATAACCATTTGTTGATACTATATCTGTTGTACGTTAATGTTATTCTTTTATTTTATTTCAATTAATTGCACACGTGTAAACTAAGACTAAAGATGCATGTGACTAGGAAATGTAAGGAAATGGTAATGAAAGGTAGAGGGGGAAGAGGTAGACCGAAGAAGACATGGATGTAATGACGATATAAGAGAGAGAGAGAGGAGTGAGGGCTGAGATGAAGGCTGATAGAAGAGAATGGAAGAGAAAAAATCGCTGTGTCGACCCCACCTAGTGGGATAAGGTAAAGAAAAAGAAGAAAGAAGACTAAACTAACACACAAATATTCCTTTTTATAAAAATATACGTTAGCAAGATGGACATTCTCTTCATAACGTGATATAATCGGAAGTTTTGTTTCCTAAATAAGTACTAACTAAACCGATTTTCATTTTTCTTTCTGTTGAACACGGCAGCCCTTAACTAAAAAATGATAATTCATATGTACACTTAAATTTCAGTATCAGTTCTAGTAGAATTGAGAGTAATCATACTTTCTAAGTCAATCAACAGTCCAAATACGAATCCTCAAGTTCTTCGGGCACATCACTCGTAATGAGGACTCCATTGAGCGGTTGGTGGTGCAAGGGAAAGTCGAGGGCAAAAGATCTCGCAGACGATCTCCAACACGATGGACCGACCTCATAAAATCTGTGACTCACTCCAACATAAATGATTGCTCTCACTCTGCGAAACATCGTGCCACATGGCGTCGCATCGCGAGAGCATCGGTATCGCAGGATTCGACTGTTGCATGACCGCGACATCTCTGTCAAGAGTGTACGAATAGGAAGAATACTTTCTAAGATTACATAAGATTAAAAATCTTAAAATAACTCGTTACACTGTTCACATTGTTTAAGTTAACATTCACGCATATAGGTAGTTATGCGTGCTGCTCCTACAACGCATTAACTATATCGCGATAAGCAATAAAATCATCTGACATCGTTAAATAAGTGTCGATACTCACATTTATAAGTAATCGAATACATCGGTATGCGGTATCGATTCTAAACGATTTATCGATGTCTCGGTATAATTTGTTGATAGCTGGATCTTCGGGTGACGCTTTAAGGCTGTGTAATTGCTTTACAGGAAGTATTGAGTTAAAAGACCGACTTAGATTGGTTTTGTATTGATTTTACTATAGATATGGGTGGGTTGAATAAAAAAAAAATTTAAACCAGCATTGTTTTTGTAACTAAATTAAAACGGAAATAAGCAACAAGCTTAAATTAAATAGGAAATCCATGTTTGTAAAAAAATACAATCAGTACTTTTTTCTTTTGGTTGTAAATCGATTTATTTCATTTGGTAACTACAGAAAAGCTTTAGTTATATCAATAAAATAATGGAAACATTTTTTTTTTTTATTAGGTTATAAGAAAAAATGCCAATAGTAAAACAAAAGAGTTTGTAATAGATAAAAAAATGATTCTAATCCTGTAGATGTCAGAGATTATGGTTAAGCTTCGAAAACTGGACGAACACTTGTACTAAGTGCTAATTAATGTGCACTGTTTTAATATATATTAATTAATGGTAAATTAATAATATTTTTAATATTTAGTACATTATCTATACATGCGGGTATATTTTCATGTACCCGCAAAATGACGAGAATGCAACTAAACCACACCGCGCGTTCTCCCGAGGTCGTTGATCCCGTGCGTCATTTGAGTCGTCTATTATCAAAGGTGGCAATCTGTACATTTGGACAAAACATTTTTATTGATATGTCAATACAGATTTATTTGAATATAACCGTCTCCTTCAAAGAATACGGTTCAAAACCTGCATTAAATAAAGGTTAATAGTTAACCTGTTATTTATTTAAGATGTCGTTCCGAAGAGTTTTGTAACTGCCAATGGAATACAAAGTCAATAATTCGTTTTTCTGATTTACCAATCATTGTCCAAAAGTCAGATTGCCGCCTTTGATAATAGTCGACTCATTTAGCACATCATTGCGCATCAAAATATTGCGAAATAATTTTCAATGTTATATGTTAGGGATCCCTAACATTGCTAGCGTCTTCATTTTCCGATATGATTCTTATATACAGTGTGTATGTAAATTATAGAAACAGCGTGCAGCTTAACTAAGATGAATAATTGAATTCGACCCTTCGAACGAATGTCCCGTCCAAAAACACACTCTGTATGAATACAACTAGCTTTTGCCCGCGACTTCGTCCGCGTGGAATATTCACAAATAATGCTTTATTTTAGAACAAATTTGGTTAGCATAAAAAACGTTATAGTGGGCCAACCTTAACATACAGACATATTATGCTGTCGCGGACTTGTATTTAGATCTTTTAAAGGGGAACAATTCTGTCATACATTACTTTAGCGAAACTTTAATCGTTTCTGCAGCGCACGCAGCGGAAGCTCTTAAAAGGGAAAAAAAAACCGATTTTGAAACATTCTTTATTGGTCCTCAGCTTGTATTGGTCTTAGCGTGATGTTATATAGCCTATAGCCTTCCTCGATAAATGGGCTATCTAACACTGAAAAAATTTTTCAAATCGGACCAGTAGTTCCTGAGATTAGCACGTTCAAACAAACAAACTCTTCAGCTTTATAATATTAGTATAGATTCAGGAGACCATAAAAAATACCGGAAAGCAACACTAGATTATCTAGGTTCGACACGGTGGGTGTCCACATCATACTCTGTAGTACCATAGCTTACCTTGGAAGTAGCTCTTGGTTCGCAAGTAGCTGACCGACAACCTAAGAATCGATAGTCGGTCTAGCTTACTCAGGATGTTCTGCTCAAAGGGTAGCAGAGAAGCGAGGGTGTCCAATTCTGCGTTAAGGCGCTCCCTATGACGCTTGCTCGGATTACTTTTCGTGACGCCGTCTTTTGAAGGTGGCTTGATGCTGTAACAAGAGAAATGACGTATTAGAGAGAGAGAGAGAGAGAGAGAGAGAGAGAGAGAGAGAGAGAATACACTTTATTGCACACCAAAATACAATTTACATTCAAAAAGGGTGCGTGTACTTATGTACGCGCGTAAGAAGTTATACTTTATTTTTATAATTTCATTTATATTACTAAAAAATGAATGCTAATAACACATTTTTTTACGAGTGTACATGCGTGAAAGTTCACCTGCGGCTATATTCAGACTCGCCAAGTTACGTCGGTCGTATTGTAATGAGCGATTTAGTGGGCAACTTCATTCTGTTAATTTTGTGTCACGATGCGCGGGCATCGTAAAATTTCACTCTCATAAATTTTTCATAACGCGCCTAAAGAAGTATAACTTCAAAAACAATAAAAAAACAGATACCTTTGTACAATAGGCTGTCTTATCGCTAAAAGCGATCTCTTCCAGACAACCGTTTAATTTACAGAAATTCTAGAAAATCTAAAAATATAGCAGGTATGTTGCGGTGTAATATAGATAATACATTATTATAGAAAATATATACATACAATATACAAAATATATATCGTTTATATTATATAATATGAAATATATACCAATATACATACTTACATACAATACATACTAATATACTTACATACACATAATGCATCAACATTATGGAAATAATAAATGATGATGCAAACAAACAGCACTAAGCAGATACGTAGTGTTCCTCCACCATTCTTTTAAAACAGTTTAAAGTTGACATATTAGTTGCAAACCAACATCATTAGAGTCGGACAACAGAGAATCAACATTCAAAAACTTAATCAGCCGTCAAATACATTTCGTAAAGAAACTCATAATAAGTAGGAGTACTTAAATGACAAATCAAATAAGCAGCAGCTAGCGTAGGCTAACGGCGAAGTCACGCGAGCTTAGCATAACTTAAGCGAGCGGATAAGGGGCGAGCTTTCTGCATTATTGTGCTTAGTTTTTCGGTAACGACTGTGCTTAGTTTTTCGTTTGAATTGCGATAAGGCCTGACGTTTTTAGTATGTTGAATATAAATTGGTATTGAGTGAGTTTCTGTTTAGGTTTTTTTTTTTTTTTTAATAAAATTACGTTTTGTAGTTTTTATGGAGTGTCGGTCCAAATATTCTCAAAATTAAATAATAATTTTTTGTTTGAGGTTATTTTAAATATTAAGGAGTGAAAAGCTATTTGGCTTAAGCGACATTTCACTTGATACGCGACATTTATCTTTGAATTTTTTTTTATTGCCCTTGTATGCAGACGAGCATACGGCCCACCTGATGGTGAGTGGTTACCGTCGCCCATGGACTCCAGCAATGCCAGGGGCAGAGCCAAGCCGCTGCCTACATAATTGTAATTAAAGGTCCGATTTTTTTTTGGTATTTTTAGCATCAACAATTCGATGATTTTAATTGAACTTCAATCAAGTTTACCACATTGAATAAGCTGAAGAAGTTTTTTTTTTGTAATGATAATCTGTTCAAATTTTAACTTTCAAATAGTTCTCCTGTAAAGATACCAAAAAGTCGCTTAAACCAAATAGTATTTTAACCCTCCATATTATACTTGGTTTATTGTTGAGTTAAATTTCGCAGTTCTCAATAAATAAAATAGTAAGAGAGACATCTATCTTTGCTTATAAAACTTAATAAAATACTTATAAATAAAATGCTTATATGCATAAAATACTTTTTATTTATTTATTTTTTATTGCTTAGATGGGTGGACGAGCTCACAGCCCACCTGATGTTAAGTGGTTACTGGACCCCATAGACATCTACAACGTAAATGCGCCACCCACCTTGAGATATAAGTTCTAAGGTCTCAGTATAGTTACCACGGCTGCCCCGTCCTTCAAACCGAAATGCATTACTGCTTCACGGCAGAAATAGGCGGGGTGGTGGTACCTACCTGTGCGGACTCACAAGAGGTCCTACCACCAGAAATTACGCAAATTATAATTTTGCGGATTTGATTTTTATTACACGATGTTATTCCTTCACCGTGGAAGTCAATCGTGAACATTTGTTAAGTACGTATTTCATTAGAAAAATTGGTAGCCGCCTGTGGAATTCGAATATCGGTGCATCGCTGGATACGAATGCACCGTAAAGGTCACGACCCTTAGTACATAGGAACACGAGGCAAGGAGAAACACGAGGATCTGTTCACAGTGATGACAACTGATTTTTTTCATAAATTTCTCTCTTTCTTTCATAAAATCTTTTATCCGTAGATCTTGTAGGTTGTATGATGCTAAGTTCTCTCATGCTGACATCTTTTGCTTGTCACATGTAGCATATAGAAAAGCTATTTTAAAATATTTATAAGGTGATTGAGTCCGATGAGTATTTATATTCTTATAGTGTAAGTTGATGTACAAAATAATATGTGCGTATTGTGTTGCTTTTGTTTTTTGTAACTTAAATTTCTAAATTTCTCTTCTTGTTCACTTTCTACTTAAATGTGATTTTGATTGTGGAAAAATATTTAGTTATTGTTTTAGCTATTGTTTAAAATATTATATGTTTGTATTGTACTGTTTGTTTCCCAAATAAATAAATAAATAAAAAATGGGGCCGGGTGATTATGCGTGATTTGTTTCCAGTTAGCTATTATTATTTACTAGCGACCCGCCCTTGCTTCGCTTAGGAAACTGTGATTTATTATTGATTTCTCCACTATTTAATGGATGTTATTATAAATGTAAACCTTCCTCTTTAATCATTCTATCTATTAAAAAAAACCGCATCAAAATCCGTTGCGTAGTTTTAAAGATTTAAGCATACATAGGGATATAGGGACAGAGAAAGCGACTTTGTTTTATACTATGTAGTGATTATTTTTCATCCTTTGGATTACAGCGTAAAATCCAGGGTACAGGTGTCTCCTCATGTGCGCTCACAGTCCATCATCAGTATTCATACATTTTCTACTACACGATGTTGGGCACGTGTTAGATGCGCCTCCTCTGCTTTCACTGTCGTGCGTGTGCCAACGGTCAACAAAAGCGATCATGTAAATTCGTTAACATCTCTAGAAAGGTGTAAAAGTTAACCATCGACCAATTTACCGAATGATAAACATCATCGATTACAATCGTACGAACGATTATAACTTAATCGAGTTAAAATTTATAGAAATAATCGGTCATTGATTTATTCGATTCTCATTCTCTACGTTATCAAGTTAATATGTGACTTATTCTTTTAAGGATAGGGTGGATTACGGTGCGTGTTTTAAGCATAATTTGTATGAGAGTTTTATGAAAGGGCTGCGCATGCGCCGTTTGATACCGACTCTGGTATAAATCAACAAAAACGACGGGAGGTGATGAGTAATACATATTCGAACTTGTGTAGTTAGTTTTTGGACAGAGAGATCGGTGGAGTGGATTGTCATTGTAAATTATAAAATATTTTATATTATTTGATTATTAATAGTTTTATAGCTTTAAAAGTACTAGAGGTCCCGCAGTAGTCGAAATTCGACTATAATTAATTGGAATTGTAAGTTTGTACACTATTATGATTGTATTTTATACTCACACTATAACCACCAATTTCGCCAAGACTACACTATAAAAAATATTAACAAAAACAAACAATATTTAATCTATTCTCAATTTGACAACAGACGTCAAGAACAAAAGTTTGACAATAAATAGTATGCATGCGTGTGTGCGTCAAATACATGGTATGTAGTGTGTGTAATGTTTTCTTTATTGATTTAATGTATCTTTTATTACTTTAAAAAAATATTAGCATTGTACACTTCTTCTCTATATTCTCTATAAGTGTGGAAAATTTTATACTCCTCCGTCCGCGCAATTTTCGTAAAAAGGGATACAAAGTTTTTGCTTCACGTAATATAGATAAGATTGTAATCTAAATTTACACTTTTAATGTAAAATTACACGTTCGCATTTCATTCTATAAATCATTTCTGACATTATGAAATGTTTAGTCTTTGTGGGCCCGGGTTTTTTTGATTTGTGTACTTCTTTATATTAGTGTTTTATAAAAAAAGTTTACTATTACCGCAGCTAAATAATAACAACAATTTACTTGGTTTTTTTTTTTTGAATAAAAATTTCAAGTGATGAATAATAAAATATGATTAATAAAAATTTCAAATGTCAAATCTACCTTCAAATAAATAATTATTTTCTTGAAGATATATGTAACGACGAGGTATTATGTATTAAAGTATAACAGTTACCGGAGTCCATGGACATCATAATAGCAGTTTCGTTTTTTTTAAATAACGACAGTTTTGCTGACACCCGGTGCCTAGCTACAGTATTATTATTTTTATTTTTTATTGCCCTTGTAGGCAGACGAGCATACGGCCCACCTGATGGTGAGTGGCTACCGTCGCCCATGGACTTCAGCAATGCCAGGGGCAGAGCCAAGCCGCTGCCTACCGTATAATCTGTACTTACATGACACAATCCTTAGATAATAGGTAAGTTTAATAAATAAGGTACCAGTGTCCATTCATGACACTGTTCCATTACTAATTTACTTTAAATTATGTTCGAGAGATGACTCTCAAATATGAATTTAGTAAAACAAATAGGTCCAACACAAAGAATGTGATTCAAATTAAATAAATATCTAATTAAAATAAATTATGACGAACATGTACAGACTTTTTTTGTTTTTTTTTTACATTGTATTTAGATTTTCCATTTAATGATTTATCGATTTATTTTTTAAAACAATACTATGTATTTTAAATATTAATATTATTGAGTATAGAATCGTTTCAGAGAAATTTCTGTTTCGTCTCTAGCTTTGAAAAAATACACTCCTTCCCTCATCATATATATATATACCTACATATATAGGTACGGTAACGGTAGGCTAATCCTGAAATTAGTCCAAAAAAAGTCGTTTACAAGTCATTGTTTGTCGTTTAACAAATCTATTTCTATTGGTTGTATTGGTTTCCGATGTCAAATAAGTT